TAAAATATTTAGCAGATTGCTTACATAGCCAAGGGGGGAGAGAGGGAGAGAGAAACAGAAAGAGAGAGAGAGAGAGAGAAACAGAAAGAGAGAGAGCGAGAGCGAGAGCGAGAGCGAGAGCGAGCGCGAGCGCGAGCGAGAGAGAGAGAGAGAGAGAGAGAGAGAGAGAGAGAGAGAGGAGAGAGAGAGAGGAGAGAGGAGAGAGAGAGAGAGAGAGAGAGAGAGAGAGAGAGAGAGAGAGAGAGAGAGAGAGAGAGAGGAGAGATACCCAAATGGCTTGTGGGAGCTGGGGAGCAGGTAATGAGGATGGCATGCTGGCATCATCGTTACAGAGCACAACAACTCGACATGGTCTCTCTGCCCAGCTGACAGGAGGCCGCACACACACACACACCACACTACCTGTCACTAATTAAAACATATAGATTAGAGAAAGCGCAATCAGGTACAGGGAGTCTTACACACACTGACACAGTACAAACAAACACACACAAGCACACACAACTGCAATTAGGTTACATTTCTCCGTCGTAACAAATGACTTACTTTTGTGTATTTGTCATCTAAAAAGTGACTGACTGACACAGCAGCTGTATCAGCTCTCACCCAGCATAAAAAAGAAAATGTTCACATATCCAACAAAAGAGGTGTTGAGAAGGAAAACATGTATGCACACTTTTACCTATAATATATTCCAACAATATTGTAAAACAGTACCAGCTTATTGCATTTGTCAAAACAAACTATTTGTTTTCACGTTTTGATTTCCCTATGTGCTTCACGGTGCCTTTCCTTTCCCTGTAATACCTTCCCTTCTCATGTTGCTCTCAATGAGTGAAATGATGTCAGTGTGTTCTCATATTCTATTTGTTCTTGCACTGTTACTTCATCTATAATGGGCAATTACTTCAGACCCAATGCTGAGGCCATGTTATTGCACCAACCCCCAATTGATTGGTTGCCCATCGTACTCAGCTTCCACAAGCACTTTAAGGTTAGATTTCCCTGTTTAAATAATGGATTACAAACCCATGAAAATAGTCTTTGTGGAAAATAAAAGGTTTAGATTGCTTTTATTGGAGGGACCTCTCAGTGGAGATGAGAGGAGAACAGATTCCATATGAGTCTCCAGAGAGTAAGCTGGTTATGAGAGATACAAACAGCAACATCATCTGTTTCTGTTATTCTGTCTAACTCTTTTTCTATAGTGTATGTCCTGATGCTTAAATAAATGGTTTGTGGTTTCTTGATGTAGCTTGAACTCAACACAAAATAAATAAATAAAAAACAAATAAATAAATCCAAATAAAATGTTCCCTGCAGATTTCCTTTACCCTATTGCTCTCATTGCGTTCCTTTTTTGCACCTCCCACAATGCGACATTTCTGTCTGAGAGAGACATGTCAAACTTAACACAGCAGGAAGTGCACTTACTGTGGGAACTCAGAGAAGGAAATCAGGGGGATTGTGGGTATTAGTGGATATATACATGCTTTCGTCTGTTCAAAGAGTTTATGTAGTGCAGTTTGCAAAGTGTGTACGTGTACTTGCCAATGTGTGTTTGTGTTGTTTACAGTGCCAATGCCCCCCGCTAACACAAGCCACAACAAGCCTTCTAGCAACACTCAGAGATTCCGTTAGGCTCTAATTACTGTGCTGTAAGTGTGTGTAAGGTTGAGGGAAATAATGTTAGAAAAAAAGGAAATTCTATGGAAAACGAGTAGACAAATAAGAGACCTGGATGAGCATCAAATAAGCTTGAAGGGCAACACATATTCATTCATTTTAGCCTCAAGGTGTGTTTGCTTGAGGACAGGCAAGGTTATTTGGCTCATTTGATATATAATATTCCTGTTTCTACATTTGCCTCACATGTTCAACCAACATACAATATATTGGTATGATACAGTGCCTTGCAAAAGTATTCACCCCCCCTTGGCATTTTTCTTGTTTCATTGCTTTAAAACATTTAATTTAATTAGAGTTTTGGAGAATTTGTATTATTTGATATACACAACATGCCTACAACTTTGAAGATGCAAAAAACATTTTTTATTGTGAAACAAACAAGAAATAATAATGAAAAAGAGAAAACATGAGCGTGCATAACTATTCACCCCCCCCAAAGTCAATACTTTGTAGAGCCACCTTTTGCAACAATAACAGCTGCAAGTCTCTATGGGGTATGTGTCTATAAGCTTGGCACATCTTTCCACTGGGATTTGTTTCCATTCTTCTTGGCAAAACTGCTCCAGCTCCTTTAGGTTAGATGGGTTCCGCTCGTGTACAGCCTTCTTTAGGTCATACCACAGATTTTCGATTGGATTAAGGTCTGGGCTTTGACTAGGCCACTCCAAAACGTTTAAATGTTTCCCCTTAAACCATTCTAGCGTTGCTTTAGCAGTATGCTTTGGGTCATTGTCCTGCTGGAAGGTGAACCTCTGCCAAAGCCTCAAATCTCCTGCAGACTGAAACACAGTTTCCTCAAGTATTTCCCTGTATTTAGCTCCATTCATCAGTCCTTCTATTTTTACCAGCTTCCCAGTCCCTGCCGATGAAAAACATCCCCACAACATGATGCTGCCACCACCTTGCTTCACTGTGGGGATGGTGTTCTGAGGGTGATCAGAGGTGTTGGGTTTGCGCCAGACATAGCGTTTACCTTGATGGCCAAAAAGTTCAATTGTAGTCTCATCTGACCACAGGACCTTCTTCCACATGTTTGGGGAATCTTCCACATGCCTTTTGGAGAACTCCAAACATGTTTTCTTATTTTTTTTGCGACTCTTCCATAAAGCCCAGCTCTGTGGAGTGTACGGCTTACTGTGGTCCTATGTACAGATTCTCCTCTCTCTGCTGTGGAGCTTACATTTTTTTACAGCTTTCCATTTTAAAATAATGGATTTAATGGTGCTTCGTGATGTTTAAAGTTTGTGAGATTTTTTTATAACCCAACCCTGTCTCATACTTTTCCATAACTTCGTCCCTGACCTGTTTGGAGAGCTCTTTAGTCTTCATGGTGCCGTTTTCTTGCTTAGAAAGACCACTTGCTGTGGTATGGAAGACGGAGGCCTTCTACAACAGTTGTATAATAATAATTAATTAATATAATAATTAGAGATAATGAGGCACTTGATTGCACACAGGTGAACTTTATTTAAATAATTGTGTGACTCTGAAGGTCTTTGTTTGGGCTAAATAGCAAAGGGGGTGAATACATATGCACACATCACTTTTCAGTTTGACATTTTTTGTTATGTTTTAAAACGTGCTCTTTTTTTCTTTCACTTCACCAATTTTGACTGACTTTGTGTGGGGTCTTGCCATAAAATCCCCCCAAATATATTATATTATTTTTGGTTTGAATGCAAGAAAATAGGAAAAATGGCAAGGGGGGTGAGTACTTTCGCAAGGCACTGTATATGATATGATATAGCCACAAAGTAAAAACTGGTCTAAATGGAGCTAGTCAATCTAAATGTAATGTAATTGTGTCATCTTTCATCATGAAGGTATTATTAGATAAAAGTACATTTAATAAGAATACAAATTAAATTACCCAATGCAGTTATATTTTATAGTGGAACATATATTACTTCAGATAACACACTGCTTCTTTAAGTTCAGTGCTCATACTCAGCTGAATTTGTGTTCATCAGTTTAAAACTTCAGCTTGAAAATGTCTCTAAAACACTATGATGCTGAAATGATACCAAACAGTTGGAACAAATGATTCACAGCAGGTAAAAAAAAGTCTGCTATTGGTAAAAGATTTGACTGCACATAATGAACCAAAATACTTTTTTCCTAAGGTGTGGGCTAGACTACACGTTTGCTATTCAAATATGTAAATTAAATGTACCTTGCACTGCGGCAAAATATAAACATTGCAGGAGAAACAAAGTAATGTCAAATTAAATGACCTGTGAACAAAGTAAAACACAGTTGTATTGAGATGAGATGGCAAAGTTAGATGTGAAATGATGACTGCCAGTAAGGAGCTAACTAAAGGCAACTGAATTGTATCTATCATTTTCACTTGAATGTCCTTCTATCTTAGTCAAGGTCTGTCTGTGTGTGTGTGTGTGTGTGGTGTGTGTGTGTGTGTGTGTGTGTGTGTGTGTGTGTGTGTGTGTGTGTGTGTGTGTGTGTGTGTGTGTGTGTGTGTGTGTGTGTGTGTTTTGCACAGGACATAGAGCAATGCGAGAAGGATACAGTTAACACAGTCACACACAGTGTGCTTTGTAGATATGTGTCACTCTCATATCTGTTTTATTGATCAAAGCAAATGTGCGTCAATCAATCTTATCTGGGCTCCACACACTCTCCAGCTAACCTCCAGAGGCGGGCCGACCAATACTGCGTCACACTGAGAGCCCCAAGCCACTCATATTATCATCAGACACCTTGAGCAAATTTTCTCTTTGTATGTGTGTGTGTGAGTGTGCGAGAATACCAGGTTGCAGAGAGTAAAGGTGCATTAGAGGACAGACAGAAAGAGAGAGCAAGTGACGGCTTTAAGCGAAAACCCAGATTAACTTCCTCTTTATGTGTGTACCATTTTCTATTCCTCAGACCTCAGTCTTCGGCATATCCTACTGAGGCAAAACCAAACCTCCTGCCATCTGTAAAGTAGGCTGCACAGAAGGCTGGCATTCGCTACAGATTAAAAATCAATGCTAATGTGCCTTTTTAGTCTGCCAGAGGTGGATGTGATCAAAGAAGAAGTGCGGCACATCATGCTCAGCAAAACACATAAATCAATCAATTCAGCTTTTCCAATGATGCAAAAAGCTGTGATGCAAGGTATGCTATGAAAGCCTAAAATAGCTAAAATTCCTGTCACCTGTCTTATTTGTCGTTTTTATGAGTAGTCGATCATTTTAAGAGAGAGTGAATGATGAAAAGCAAATCATTTATGAGTAGGGGGCATGCAGCTATCAACGTCATTTTGAAAAGCAACTATAGGATGTAAATGACAAATGTATCTCGAGACTTACCTCGACAGACGTTGCCGTTGTCAGGTTCAAACCCTGCCTTGCATGTGCAGCTACCGATAGGAACCATCCACTCGCCGTCTCCATTGCAGTACAGCTTTATAGGGACATCTACTTCCTCTGAGTTGGGAATGCAGATTCCTCTTGCAATTACCAGAGAGGTGCTCTCAGCCCCTGTCATGGTCTCTGGAAAGATTGCAAAGTTCTGGACCACACTTGGGCACTTCTTATAAAACACTCTGACTGACAGCAGAGACATGCAAGCGCCATAGTCCTGAAACGCCAGGTAGAAGCCATTTTTAGACAATGGGCCAAAGCTCCGCACTTCTGTGTTGACCTTCATCAGGCGTCCGCCAAAGTCCACCTGCGAGAAGCTTTCATCTGCAGCAATGGTGTCTACCTTGAGGTAAGGGGCCTCCATCCAGAAGGCGGTGCCTTTTGTGGCAATGACAGCATCAGATTCATAGTAATAGAGATTAAAAGTCTCCTTGCATGAGCCAGGGACGTTTGGGATGGAGCTGCAGTCACGCACGGTGAATCGAATCTCCACATAGATGCGCTGTGCTCCACGGCGATCAATAAAGGTGGTGAGGAGCCAGTTATTTTGACTAGGCTCGAAGACATTACACACCTGGTAGGTCCTGATTGTGTTGAGGTTTTCATCGTAGCCACTCACTTCCTCCCACTACAGAGAGAGAAGGAAAGAGAAGAGTACAAATGGTTGATTAGTAATCATCGGTGACAAGAATGGGTTGCAAATGTTTTAATCGAGTGAGCTCATGTTGACTGAGCTACAGAGCATTGGTACACACCATCAATGATCTTCCTAAGGCAACACATTTGAGTCTATGCTTCCTGGATTAACAGTAAGGACTCAGCCTGTTGTGCTCTGGGGCTTATTCAACCATTGAGAATACACAAATATCCTTCTTTCCTGAATTATAAACAATTATTTAGGAGCAGCCACAGCAAAACATACCACTTTGCCGACTTGTTCTCCAAATACGCGCAACTGCCTAACTATTTGTACTGCCCCTATAAGCACAAACCTCATAATTACTTTGGATGTACTGCTATTTGCCATCTATGCTGTGTGTGGCTAGGCACAGAGCTGATGAATTATAAACTATGGTGTGTAACAAATTCAAGATTATGCACTATTGAATTATAATTAGACAGACGGGGGCTGGTACATGGCAGCCAAGAGCCGGTATGATGGAAAGGCATTTGCCTCCGGACGGAACTGAAATACACTGCAGGCCATTTCTTGCAGGTGTGACCCAGAAAGTATGTTGGATGAGCATCAGAAGCCCCTTGGGGAATACACTCAGTGCACAAAATGATGATGAAAATGTGCCATTACCATTTGGCTGGTATCACTAAGAATTTGGAAGAGAAATTACTGAAATCAAAAGATGCTTGTCTAGAAGCTCGCTTTCAGATGAGAATGTCTGTTATACTTTGGCATACAGATTTAGAGCAGACTGAAAAAACAAACATGAGCCATATGCATTACGACAGTCACTTAAAAGCCACACTGACTTTAAAGAGTATTTTGAGGTAGAGGGAAGAATTTATTCTCATGTCACTTTCACTCTTTGTAATATAAGGCTATTCTTTTTACTACTATTTTAAGCAAAAGCTCAGCTGACAGACTCATTTCTCCAAATACGCCCCCTCCCAATGATCCAAACAGCTGTAGGCCAGGAGAAGGTAATGAGGTCTATGTGAAGTAAGTAGGCCTCCAGTCAGTTCATGTTTCTTCTGAGCATATATCTCCTGGTCTTTCCTCCTTCTTCTGACCTTTAAAGTCCCAGCTGCTCAATCAGGCCTAATGGAGAGGTGAACACATGAACTCTCCACATACAGCCTGAACAACCAGCCAAATGATGGAAAAGATTCAGAAATATTGGATGAGTCCATACAAATGATGTGACACTTCATATATGTCGGTGTTTTGGGGTTTGAAGATACACTGTACACAAACAAGGATGATAAATACAATTTGGAGGAAGGATATGTGGAGACAAACAAGCATGTTTTGATCCGGGCTAAAAGAGGGAGGGGGAGAAGACACCTGGAGAACAGTGACACCGCTGACATGATAAACGAGTTTACAGAAATCTGAGGTGCAAATTAAAGCCTTTTCTCACCGCTGCTCCCTCAGTGCCCACTTCGCTGTACTCTTCTCCCCCCTACTCTCTTCGCCTTCTGCTCTCTTCTCTCGTCTCTACTCTGTAATGACCATTCATCAGCATTACAGGAACCTGTCCCTTTCAGCACTGCCTGTTCATTAATACAGCCAGCCCAAGGCTCCTCTGCACCCGTCTGCTCCAGTCTAGGAGGGGGTCCTCACCGCCCCTCGTCTAGCCAAATGACCACCATATTTCACGCCAGAGAGATGCCCAGGGCGTCTGCGATAATGCCCGTCTGAAATCTGTCCAGAAATTCATTGGCTCGTAAAATAATAAACTGCATTTTTTTCTTATTTCCTCATCGGTGGATATTCAGTGTCACCATTGTGTCAAAGGAAACAAAAACTATTACAGGTGCACAAATTAAACTTTGCAGTTGAGTTTCCTTATATGCTTAAAGTGATTTGTCCTGATCTAATGCCTCCTGTTTATAATTTGCTGGTTTACCTACCACATATTGATTTGCTGGCTGTTCTTTTACTGCTGATGGGCTTGAGGCTGCACATTACATTTCTGCTTCCGTAGGTTTCTAAACATTTGATTACTCTGAGATGTAGAGTTGTAATGCATGTGACGCATGCATTTAAGAAGCAAAAACACTATCTACATACGCAGCACATGCCCTGCAGTCACATCAATACTCTCTGCCTAGGTTTTATATTTCTGTTTCTATGCCTTTCCCGCAAACCGTTTACATCATTTAAATCAAATCTATCTCATGCACTACTCCATGACATCTCTCTGACCTTGCCAGAGTAGGGAAGGCATCATCACCTGTCACCTTGCTGATAATGGAATTCCCTGGTCTTTGCATCCATTTCCTCTTCAAGGATTTGTGTATTAAAATAAACACTGTTAGTCCTGCACTTTGTATATCAAGTCGATGAATTATGGACTCAAGCGCAGTTGTATGTTCAAGGCATGTATCATTCATATCGGCTCAAGGTGAACAAGATGGGGGAGAGAAACTGAGGTGTGATTATCTTTTTGTTCCCAAGTCCTCTTTAGTACTACCACATCACATTATCTTTGCTGTAGATCTCCCTTACTGTAAGTTTAGGTGATAAGAGATAATACTTTATAATTGCAGTATGGCAAACCCAAAAGAATACAGCAGGTAGAAAGTGACAAACATCACTGTTATGTGCTTCTATAAAGTCAGCTTTCTCTCAATTAGTTTTACGCTACACATTTCTGCATCCCTGTTTCTATATTTTATCATCACACATCTCACTGTACGCAAACCTTTTGCTGAGAAAACACTCAACAAATATTGAGAGCCTCTTGACACTAATTGATATGCCAACATAATGTACCCATTGACTCTTCTCTAATAGCTTTGCTTTTGCCAGTTATATAGGAGGCACTTTTTCCCCAACCCTGATAGTCAAGTGTGGCCATTGTGTGTGTCATTATGGCTGCTGCTCGGTTTTATGGGCAATAGTAAAGAGATGGAGGAGCTATGGATTCACAGAGTGCTTAATGTGTGTGTTAATGACCAGTCACAGACAGCTGAGCTGGAGAAGAGAGGGCAGAGGAAAGAAAGAGACAGAGTGATGGATAAAAGAAGAATACAAGAGTGGAAAGGAATCAAGGAGAAGGGGGCGGTAATATATTCAGGCTGATGTTCCACTTCCCACAGCCTCAGCTTGCTGCCATCAATCCATCGATACTCTGCCCTCATAAAGGCCATTCATCACATTGATCTCCTGCCATTACCTTCAAAGGCTAAAATAACACAGAGCAGCTCCGATGGCCACAGTTTTGCTCCAGAGGACCGCAGCATCCAACAGTGAGTTGGGGACAAGTAGAACCCCAATCACAGAACCGAGAATAACCTTTCAGCGCATTGATGTCACACCTGTGGACAATAATAGGAGAAATGGACTGGACTAATGAGTCATTTACAGCAGGCTTGTTTGGAACAGGACAGGAGCGCCACACATGCTGCAAGATGTCAGTCATGGTTGACATTACATAACAAAAGCTATGGAGAAGAGATATGTCCTGACAGAAGGTCATGTAACTCATTTCCACTACATTAACCTTTTCAGGAAAGCAGACTCATTTAGAAAACCTTTTTAGTAGCACAGGTGTTGCAGTTTTAACTAAAGCAACCCTGATCTTAATGTAGTTCCTGTGCCACACTTCCTGAGCCCCAAATGTCCCTGCCCTTGGAGTTGTACTTTATAATGGGAAATGTCCTATCGTGGCGTATTTTGCACGGCATGATCATTGCGGATTAGTCTAATGAAAGCCTGCACGCTGATACAACTTGTTTACTAAGACACCTTTTCATTCAGCAGATCATCATTATTTGTTTTTTCCCCCGGTCTTTTAAAGATGGTTCCTGGAATGTCCTGTTGCTCCAGATTTTCCAGTCACTATTTGGTGGAAAGAGGCCAATTGTTGGCACAGAATGAAATTCAGGAATAAAGTAATAACATAACAACCTCTGGCCTGATGTACTGTAACTTTAGCCTCAATCATACAAACCAGTCAAAACATTTGGCAGCAATGGGTATGGTTGTGGCTCAGGCTTCACTTCACATACATAGAGACATGTCTTGGTTACTTTAAGCTCATAAGTAAACGGCAGTCAATTTAAGCGAGACAGAGGCTTGAATATAGAAGCATCTATTGGGCTGCTCTTTAACCTTAAGTCCGCTCTCTGATTCTCAGTGGATTCCCATTCACTTAATGCTTTTTAAATCCATCAGCATATTTAATAGAGCTACATGCTCAGACATACTGAACACAGATGGATGAGGAGCAGCTCAGAGCATTTCCACATTTAAAGCTCCTGAGCCCAGAAAGGTCTACAAAATGGCATCGCAAATAGCAGATGAGCGTCTGGAAACTGTCTCTTGAACGACCATCAAAACTCCCATTACTCAGTCTGAGAACAGGTTTTACAGCAGGATCCAAAGCCAGGTGTATTAAATAGTACACAGCAATGGCCACACACTCTACTATTAAGGTTTACAACTGAATGTGTGCCCTTTTCAGTTAAAGCAGTCAACTTTGAGCTTTCCCTTCAAATAGACAGTGTGTAGGATAGTCCGCATGGATTGTTTATATAGTGTCCCCTCCAACATTATGGCTAGGGTTTTGGGTTTACATATGTAACCCCAAGAGAAATGGGTGGAATATTTGTGAGCACTTTCTACCAAAGAGATGTCTGTTCATCTATCAGCGCAGGAGTAAAACCTGGGTGGACAAAACCAGGAGATTGCTTTTCTTACAACAGGTTTAGGATGGACATTTCAATAATGAAACTATTTGTTATTCATAGAAAGTATACTTTCATATAATCCATTTTTGTATAATTAGGCTTGAATAAATCAGCATTTAAAGAGCTTGCTTTTGATAAAATAGGAGAAGAAAAGAAAAAGCAGGGGCACACATGTGGGTGAAATTCACATTGACATATTTCTAAAGGCCAAGGTCTCCGAAGGACAGTGGATTATAGCTGGACATGAAAAACTGA